ATAATCTGCTCAGTGATAGTCAAAATGACATGTGAGGAATCAGGAAAGACAAGGTTGTGACTGAAAAGACACAATCAGTAAGTTGTGAGTGTCCATGTCATTGTCTCCAAACAGTTCAGTCTCTGCCTGTCCAGCGTAGAGTTTTCAAACTAAAATTGGGCTAAAAATCTCCAGAGCAGTGTGGACGCCAGATGCATCCGCAGTAGAGTTGATGCATTTTCATAAGTAGTCATATGTCGAACCTTTGAAAGAATTTTACTTTGTCCAGTTCAAGCAGTTCTGCAGCAGCAACCAGGCTCCTTCACAAATTGTCCTTTTGAATTGTGTGTCAGCGTCTTCTCACCACCATTACTCACCCACGTAACACTGTCTCGGTCATGTGAGGGCTGATTATTTTCAGGTCATTTGTCCTCATCCAGTTTTGCTGCGTGTTTCCAGCTGTAATGACGCCCTAACCCTCTTTTTCATCAACCCACAAGCCCATTTGTCAGTTTTTTTATCATTTCCTCTTACAAATCAGCTTGTCTTTTCTTGACAGTCACGATGTGTAACACGCATGTGTTTTGTTCACCTTGAGTGTGACCTGATGGGCAATGACACCATCCTGAAGTCCACTGTTTTCTTATAATACAAGTATATGCTCTCAGGAGAATTTTGTGTGTGCTTGTGTTTCTGAGTTGCATATTTGTATTTGTCTCCTGGGCCAGATTAGACTGTCTGGTGGGCCACCTCCAGACTGGAGGCCCCAGAAGTCCCCCACCCCTGATGAAGTCAGATGAGTCATACATATTTCGAACAACAGAATGGAACAGGTGTGAATCCCTGTTACTTTAGTACTCTGAGATATTCATCATTTACTGCTGTTTTGGAGACTCATGGCAGACAAACAAACTACATGTTTAGGTCATGTTTTATCCTGGTCTTAATAAAAAAAAAAAGATTATTAAAGAGGCTTTGCTTTATAACGTGATTAGTGATTGTGAGGATGTATTGATGTCTTCTTGTGTCTTCAATGTGCGGTATAGATCTGTATCTACCAGGTCTTGTATTATTTCATTTTTCAGGAGTGCCTTGTGGGATTTCTTCACACATTTATTTCCAAGATGTGCTCCTTTTTTCACCTTTTTGTTCTAAAATGTCTCTTTAGAGGCCTGTTTGAACAATAGAAAATATTTTAAAGATCTAATGCAGACAAGACATACAAAATACTCTATAAAGTTTCTATACTTTCACAGAAAAGTTGAGTTACTCAACTCATAAAGTCACCTATTTCACAGTCATGGGGAATGTCTCAGTGCATGTGAACTAGAGATTTCAAGTGTCTGCTTCACACTTC